CAGGTTGGACATCAGGAACAATTTCTTCTCCAAAAGAGTGGTCAGACATTGGAACAGGCTGCCCAGGGCAGTGGTGGAGTCACCATCCCTGGAGGTGTTCAAGAAACATGTAGATGTAGCACTTGGGGATATGGTTTAGTGAGCATGGTGGTGATGAGTTGATGGTTGGACTGGATGACCTTAGAGGTCTTCTCCAACCTTAGTGATTCTGTAAATCATTACCTAGAAAGGAAAGGAACACGCAGTGAATTACCAAACTCTGGTTTATCAGGGGGATGATTCATTTTGGATGACTGTGGGTTTTGATGACCGTGGTCGTACATCTGAAAGAAGAAAAACCAACGAGAGCCCATGGTACAGCTGTGGCCAAAAGGTGGGTGTTGGGTGTTCAGCCAGAGCCTTCACTTGGGGTGGAAAGAGCTCTGGTTCCCCACAGCTCTGCTCTTCCATGTGGTTTGGAGACAAACTGAGCAGAAATTGGGGGTTTCTTATACAATGGATGGGGAGAAGGGATTGTCTGGGCCAGGGAGTGATGCTGGTGATGCCAACGTGCTTTGGGGTTTGCCTGGGGGTGGTTAATGAGACCCCAGGCGTGGGCAGTGGTGCCCAAACTCACTGTGTCCTGGCTGGAGAAGGCAAAGAACCACAGACCTTACCAAATGCTGCTGTGAGGTCACCATGGTCAAGGGTTCCCCATGGGAACAGCTCATTGTCAGCCCTTCCAGCACCGCGCAGCGATTTGGGTTCATGATTTCAGCCTGGGAGATTCTCTATCCCAAATCCCAAAGGTTTGTGGGATTACCTCTGGTTTGGAAGTTTGCTGTTGGTTCTACTTGTCTTTAGCTGCTGTGGGGACACCAGCATGCCTGACTCCCAGGAAGGACGGTGGAGCACTGGGTGGTTCTCTGCTGGGATGCCCACGATGGAGGTGAGCTGCAGGCATGTGCTGCCCGAGCCCCATTTCCAGCCAGGGCTTCTGCCTGCAGCTCCTCCAGAAAGCAGGTTCCTTGCTGCCTTTAAGCCAGAAAAAATTCCCTTTCCTATTTGGGCCTTTTTTTCCCCCTTTTTGACACCTTCTGCACTTCCCATGTCACCTTCTCAGCGTGGTTCCCTGCCCTGGGGGACACTGCAGGAAGTCACATCCTCCTCTCCTCAATGTCCCTTTCCCCTCTTTTCTCCTGAAGCTGCAGATCACCAGAGTGGGAAGAAATTCTGGCTTCAAAGCACAGACAGTTATGAAGAAGACGGATTTTAAATATGAAGTTCATGTAAGTTGTTTCTATCTTTATCAAGCCCTTTGCCTCCTTTCTAAGAAGGCTGGTTTGGAAAAAGAAATAACTGATTGGCAGGGTAGTAACCGCCTTCCAACCACAGAGCACGAGCTCTAAGGTAGCATGGAAAGGGTCTCCTCCTGCCCCAAGAGAATTGCCCTTGAAGCAAAAGAAATCCTTTTCCCAATTAATTCCAGCACTGCCAAGTGGGGGAAAACCCACAGTGTGTGAACTGGTGCACAGGACAACGCCGGGGCTGCCAGTTCCTGAGACTCTTGGGGTTCAACAGGGGCCAACAAAGACTTTAAACCCCTTTAAACTAAAATTGTTGCTGGAATGGGGGCTGCAGTTCTCTGCCAGGCTCTCCTACCTCAGGTAGTGTGAGGATTCGTGCAGCTTTGTCATGGAATTGCTGCATAACTTCAGCTGGAAGGGACCCAACCATCCACCCAACGTGCACCCAGCCCAGCTTGCCCAGGACAGCATCAGGCTGAGCGTTGTGTATCTCCAAGGATGGAGACCCCACCACATCCCCATGGCAGCCCCAAAGGATTTTTTTCCCTAGATTTTATCAGAGTTTGTTGTAACCCACGTCCTTTGAGAGGTGGGGAAGGTGCTGGGTTACAGAGCACGAGGAACCACACCTGCCCCTGGTTCAGAGAGCACCTGAGCAGTGTTCCTTGCTCAAAACATGGTCAACTCCAAGCCAAGGAATTAAAGATAGCAAACATCTGGGATTTCAGCCATCTTTCTGTTTTATTCACTGGTTGCCTCAGAAAAAGACCTTACAAACAGCAGGAGAAAAAGCAAATGACAGCCAAAAACCCCAGAGCAGACAGACCCACAGCGGTTTGTGGGCAAAACCTCGTGGATTCTGCAGGAAACCCCAATTTCTGGGGACACCTGGGTCAGGCTTTGGTTGCTTTTGCTTTAGGAATGAGGAGGCTGCAGCTCCTCCCTCCACACTGCCAGGCAGATGGTGGGATGTGCTGTAAAGCTGGTGTCTGCCACAGCTCTTTGATTGGAATTAGTGATTATTGACTAATTTATTTATTTATTTCCTTTTTGTCATGCCTTTTTTCTTTCCCCTACAGGCAATCTTCAAAGCCCGTAACCCCCAAGCCACCACAGCAGTGTACCCACATTTCATCAGGGAACAAAGGACAAAGGACAATATTCTCAGGAAGAAGCTTCAATGCACTGGTCAGTCCCAACTCTTCCACCTGGACTCACTTAACCCTCCATGAAACCACCAGCCCAACCTGTCCCCAGCAATCCTGGCACCTCCCTCCTGCCCGTGAGCTCAGTGCAAACTTGCAGAGTGGTTGGTTTGTTAAACATTTCAGACAGCAGGACCATGGTGCAGAACAGACCGTGGTGCAGAACAGACACGATTTGCAGGTTCTTTTGGCTGGCTGTGATGCTGACCTGGCGTTTTGGATCTTGCAAGGACAGGTTCAGGGTTCTTTTCCCAGGTTCCACCTCTGTAATGTTTTACCTGCTTCACTAACAGGTACTTCAGCAGAAACAGAGCAGACAGGAAAGGGAAGTGTTGTCAAAGCAGCAGTTTGTTGTTAAATCAGGTGCAAATAAGGTGACTTTTGAAGATTCCATAGCCAACACAATGCATATTTGATGCCTCACAAGCAGCAGGAGATACTTTCCTAGGGCAAAACTCTGCTGCCTGCCAAGAAGCAGCGCTGAAGGCTCAGCCCAAGCCACGCTCCTGGCTCAAGCCAGAGCAAACACAAAGGTTTAGTGTCACCAAACTGGCTCCCAATTGCTCAGCATCTAAGCAGCCTCCAACCACAGGTGTGCAGGAACTGCAGTGCCTTGTGTACTAGAAAATCACCCATCACCTGCAGATCCTTTAGAAATAAACACAACTAGAGGCACTCACCTCCTCCCACTCAGTCTGGGATGGGATTTATTGGGAGACTTGAGTTCTCCTCCTTACAGAGGTTCCAGCTCGTTCAGCACCTGGTGTGTCTGACACAGCAGCAGACAATTCCCTCTGCAGCCAACCTCACCTGGTTGGAAGCACTGGTTTCTTCCTACAATGGACTCACCAGATGCTGGAAAATAATCCAGACCCCAATCAATGAATTTTAGCAGCCCAGTCAGTGCATACACCACACTCTCTCCTACGTACCTCTACAAGTAGAAGCAGAACAATTTTTTCCTCCCCAAGTTCTTGCAGTGCACGCTGCTCCCTACGGCAGAGCTCCAGCCAGGGAGGTTTCTTCTGGGGCTCCACGTACCCTGTCAGAATAACTTTGATCCTTATTTGAGATATTGGTAAGAAAATAGAGGGCTGGAGCAGCTCTGCTGTGAGGACAGGCTGAGAGAGTTGGGGCTGTTCAGCCTGCAGAAGAGAAGGCTCCGGGGAGATCTTATAGCGGCCTCCCAGTACCTGAAGGGGCTACAAGAAAGCTGGGGAAGGACTTTTCATAAGGGCAGTTAATGACAAAACAAGGGGAAATGGGTTTGAACTGGAAGAGGGGAGGTTTAGATGAGACGTGAGGAAGAAGTTCTTCACTGTGAGGGTGGTGAGACACTGGAACAGGTTGCCCAGAGAAGCTGTGGCTGCTCCTCCCTGGAAGTGTTTAAGGCCAGGCTGGATGAGGCTTTGAGCAACCTGGTCTAGTGGAAGGTGTCCCTGCTGCTGGCAGGGGGGTTGGGACTGGATGAGCTTTAAGGTCCCTTCCCACCCAAACCATTCTACGGTTCTGTGATGAGTAGTGTCACCACTTTACAGAGGAGGAAAACCTGCAGAGCATTTTTCTGAGGCTAAGGCTCATACTGCTCAGCAGCTCAGGAAGAATTTGATCTCTTTTCCCTTTGGAAAAATGGACCTAAATTAACACTCATGGCTTTTTTTATTTCCCCCCCCAGGGATGCTCTGTTAGGGCTGAAGTAATCTGTGCTCATAATGCTGCTGGTAGCAGGGCTTTTAGCAAGACCCGAGTCAGCTACAGTGTTCTTAGCACCAGGATAATTCCACTTCACTTCTAACAGAGCTGTCCACAGCCCAAGACCACAGGTCATCTGTTGCCCTGTGCTGCCCCAAGGGAAAATCCAGCCTTTGCTGGAAACAGAACAAGGTTTCCCCAAGATCTTTGGAGAACATTGGTTCTCCTCACACCCCCAGTGGCAGGCAGAGACCTTTCAGGTGTGAGAACCGAGTGTCAAGTACCACAAAGTGCAGTTTCAAGCATCAAACCTGAAATTCACAGGAACCTCTGCAAGTTTAATCAGTAAGAGTGCCAGAGCTGGGCTGAGGTTCCTCATATCCTCCCTGGGAGATCCCTCAGGTGGTGTTTGCAAAGCCCTCCTTCAGTGTTGCCCAAAAAAAAGCTCATTTTAAATAAGCAAGGCTACACTTTCTGCTCTTTCCACGCTGTGCTTTCCAATAGCTGCGCTCACATCCCTGCTCAGACTCCTCTTAGTGACAGGTTTTCCATCTTGAGTTGGCTGCTAGTAAGGAAACTCATCCTGTCTACAGGCAGCAGCTCAATCTGGCAGAAAAAACCAGAATATTCACTGCTAAACTCCAGTTTTGAGGCTCAGTCAGGTTTCCAGATCCATTTCTTGACGAGCAGGAGCACTGGAGTTACACAATGCCCATACAGAAGGAGATACCAACATTTAAACAGTTTCTTTTCCTTTCAGAGGACACACCAGGACCTGGAACATACAATGTGGACAGGGGGTACAGAGCTTGCTTACCCCACTCCCCCAGTATCATCATTCAAGGAATCAGGAGACCCAAGAGACATGACACTGGGCCCTTTACAACTCTGTGAAGCAGAGAGGACCAGAGAGTTTCACTCATAACCGAAGAACTTGCTCCTCTTCAGCAATAAAAAACAGCACAAGTGTTTCAGCTCAAGAACTAGAGTGTGTGCACTCCTGGTCACCAGAAGAAAACCCAGTGTCTCCTCTGCTTCAAGGAGGGAGAAAAAGCTGAGCAAAGAATCTGTTCTACAAGAGAAAACCCAGGATGGGTTTTCCAGGATGAGGAACCCAGGACAGAGGTTCCTCCCAGTAACAACGGGCAAGAAGCAAAGCCAGGCTGCACCCTGCCAGGCAGATGGAGCTCCCGGCTCCCCCAGTCCCTGGGAACACTGACTGGACAGCCAACCCTTGGATCTCATTTCAAACAGGGACACATCACAGCCCTTCCACCCCACAAACACCAGCAGCTGCTCCAGCTCAGGGTTTGGAGGCCAACAGCCTCAGTATGTGATTGTGTCCACCCAGGCCACAAGTGAGTGATGTTTGCTCCTCACTGGAGTGCTGGCTTGAGGCAACTCCACTTCTCTAGGCTCAGTGTTGCTGCAAGCAAATTATTTCAGGGCAGCAAATGTCAAATAACACCTTCCTGCTTTGAGGTCTGTACCAGCACCATCACCCTGGTTCATGCAGAGGGGAGGTGGCCCCAGCCATGCAGCATGGGACGAGGACAAATGAAACCACCACGACTTTGCAGACAACCGGGTCTTTATTCAGGATTTAAGGTGCTACAAAAAATACTTCAGGAGCCTTCACATGGCAACTTCTGTTCTGCAGCCTCAGCTCTGTTGAAAGAAACAACTACAGCTTATTAGTGAAGAGTTTTAGTAAATTAATCCCACAGTCTCAGTCCGAGATGGGTACTTACAGCTGGGCACTCAATTGCACCGTTGTTGATGTCATCGATGATGTCATGGGGGTGTCTGCCATCAATGCTGCAGCCCACAGACTGGGCAGTTCCAAGAATCTCCTTGATTGTCCCTGCAGGGGGAAGATACAGCTCGTCAGGGCTTCACCACAGGGAGAAAAACTCTGGAGAACACACGGAGAACTCAATTCCTTACACCTCAACTCTCCTCCCCTCCCTCCCTTTGGGCTCTGCAAGGCTGTAGTTGTTGGGGGAGTTCATACGGGGACATCAAGCCACCAGAGTCACAGCTAGCATGGTGGCTTCCATGGAAGTGCCAAGTGTCCTTGTCACCATCCTGTGCCGCTTCATCAGGTGCCAGACTGGCTGCCCACAGCCAGCACAAGGTTGTTCTGGTGGTGATCAGCAGCACCTACACGAGGAGCTCCACCACTATGGGCCCTGCCAGGAACCAGAGCAGCACCTGGTGCAGACACTCGGGTGCAGGCAGAGGGAGGACTCGGTGTGAGCCCCACACCAGGACTCACCCGACAGCTCTCGGGCCAGGGATCTGTGCCGCATCTGCCGCGCAATGTTCACGATCTCATCGAAGCTGACGCTGCCGCTGTGTTTGACTGTGAAGGGAGGGAAGAGCACCAGTAAGCCCAGGTAAAAACCAGACACTCCCAGTTCCCTCAGCTTTGCCATTCCCAGCACTCCCCCCACAGGGAAATGGAAACCAGGGAGCTGGTACCTACAGCAGAGCTGCCACCAGCACATCTGCCCCTGGGCTGCAGCACTAAGTTACCCACAGCTGGTGTCCTGAGCTGTCAGCTCACCCTGGACTGTGCTAGTGACCGTGCCACGGGGACTGTGCTAGTGACTGTGTCATGGGGACTGTGTCACAGGACAGTGGCTGGTGCCTCCCCACCCCCCATCTCCCACGGAACCGAACTCTGCTGCTGTACAAACTGACACCAGCCACCCAGGACACAGCCCCAGGGCTCTGACCTGCCAGTCCACAGCCAACAATCCAGAGGCAGATCCCTCCTCCTCCCCTTCACACCCGGTCACATCCACAACTCCAAAGCCAGGTGAACACTTACTGTTCTTCTGCTTCTTCCTGTCACGTGGAGGCTCCTTCAGAGCTTTGATAATCAGAGCAGAGGCAGAAGGAACAACCTCTATCTAAATAAAAAGAGATTAATTCACCTCCACTCCAAGCAGAATTAGGTCGCTAACGAAGATAACTCAATCAAGCAAATGTAATTGCTGTGTTTCAGTCGGGTCACAGCACACAAGGGGTTTGTTTTTGGTGACACAAACGTGTCCCCAGCCTTTCGGCACAGGCCTCCCCACGAGCAGGAGAGAACTGCTTCCTGGGCCGGGGCTTGCTCTCAGCTC